AACAAGGAACCAACCATTGGGGCCGCGTTCTTGACTGTAAGTAGCTCAGGGAGTTTGCCACCCAATATATCATTCACGGGACGAGGGGTCTTGGCCTGCATTTTCACAGCACTATCTCGATCAGGTTGACCAAAGGCTGAGCTTTTCTTTTGTTCGATCTCTACCTCTTCCCGCCTCGATTCCTAACCCTGATCTAGCAAAAATGCCGACTGGAGGATCGACTCATCAAGTTCGAGATCTGGGACACTGCCGGCCAGGAGCGATTCCACAGCCTAGCACCGATGTACTACAGAAATGCCCAAGCCAGTGCTGTCATCTACGATGTCACCAAAGCCGTGAGTGTTCGAAAAAAAAAATCAAACTCCGGATTTTCTCTCCTTTCAGATTTAAGCTTCCGACCGGCCTGACCGTTGCTTTCTCCACATGTGTAACCCTTGCCACGACAGAGTTCTTTTGAGAAGGCCAAGTCTTGGGTCAAAGAACTTCAGCGCCAGGCCAACCCAAATATCGTAATCGCCCTGGTCGGGAACAAGATTGACTTGCTTGGAAGGACTGAGTCGGTGGAAGAGTCGACCGCCCAGGGCGAGGAGGATGACGAGACGGCCACTGCCACTCCAGAAGCAGGCGCTTCTAGTTCATTGAGGGCTGTACCGAAGGACGAGGCTGAGGCGTATGCCAAAGAGTCTGGCTTGTTGTTTTTTGAAACCAGTGCAAAGACAGGTGAGGGAGTCGTTGAGGTATTCACTGAGATTGGTGAGTCTACAAGAAGCCTGCTCGATGTATGCCTTCTTCATTCTGACCTTAGTACGATCACTGACCAGCTGACTTGGGACTTTTACGTTTTCCCAACAGCGAAGAAGATCCCGATTGATCTACACCTTGCTCGCAGCGCTGCCGCTGCTACTGCTGGCGGGGGCTCTGGTGCCGGAAGAACCGGGGCTGGCGCCCAGAGTGGAGGTGTCGATCTGAACTCTGGAGGAGAAAGCAGAGGAAGGGACGCTTGCAGCTGCTAGAGTGGTCTCTTCTTGTTCCCTTGACTTTGCGATATTGGTACCCCTGTCTCTTTCGATCTTGACTGGTGTCATAGACCGCCGATTCAGCTGACCACTGCCTCGGAGGACCTCTTGTTTGGTCCTTGGCAGGTATCCTTACCTCACACTGTTCATTCTCCCGCTTCTTTCATTCCTATCCTCCTATTCTATTTGTTCTACCCCTCCGTAGATGGGATCCCTATACCCCCATCCAACCCAGCTCTGGCCTCATACTTGATTCAACTGTAAATGCGCTTTTCTCCCTGTTCTATCCCGACCCTTCAACAGCCCCCAGGAAAGGTGTCGGTGTCATTCTCTTCCCAGTCATTCCTCTCAATCCCTCCTTTCTGTCTTGCCTTCAACCTGTCTATATCATCAATCACAGAGGTCCTGTCTCCTTCCTTCTCACGCGCCGCCGTTTTTCACTTGAAATGGAAATGTCCTTGAAATCGGAGTGATTGTCGTATCCTCAGGACCCGAAGACAGGAGACTTAAGGGTCCGTTCGGAGGAGAGCCCTTGCGCGCATGAGAAACGTCGTCTACGTGGGACATGTGTGCTACACCCCCCCAACTTTTGACGAAAGGATTTTGATCCGAGGTTACCCAGGGATCGTAGGCCCAGCACCATTTACTTCCTTGCTTGAACCAGTGCAAATTCGATTCCTGTCAAGTCCTAATTATTGAGATCCCGACTGCGAGGCAACACAAGACGTGACCACGGCCACCCACTCAGGGCGTAGGCGCGCACAGTGACTCCATTGCGGGGAAGTGGTCAAAAACCTGTATTACGTAAGGGTTTGGGTTTCGGCTTTGACGAAAATCTCAGGGAAAAGAAAAGAAAGCGTATTTGGGATCCCACATCCTCCAACCCCACCAAACGACCCACGCCAACTCCAACAAACATCCTTCTCTCTATACAACCACTTTTCCTTTCGGCCGCCTTCTACTTTCGAAGGCTTTCTCTCACCATCCCTGAAGACGCAGAGAAAGTGAGGATCGTAGCTGAAAGCGGGGAAAATTCAAGGAGAGGCAAAGCCAAAAGTGGGTGGTGGAAGGAGAAGCATAAGAAGCACGACGACCAACTTGTTCGACGATCTAACTTGGCACTCGACCATTCGACACTCTCGGCGCCATTGAGGGGATTATTTGCTGATAATCTCTGGGTATTCTAGTTCCGTCTTTAAACCCAAATTCATTCAGTCCGACCAGAAGCGCCTCTCTTTCCAACGCCGCCCTCGCTTCACTCTTAGCAAGAGCGAAGGGCTACACGCCTGGTCAAAAGAGTCGACCAGGCTGGAGTAAGAACGTCAGATATGACAGCCTCTGGAGGTATGTGATGGGCTTTGATTTGAATGGACCTGCCACCGCGTCGGGGGCATCAGCCGGTGCCGACAAGGCCAAACTAGGAATCGCTCTGCCTGACTCACAAAGAAAGATAAATGCTTACCGAAGCCACTGATCTCATCCTTCTCCTTCGCCCTCGCTACTCCCTCAGTGCACGATCTGACACCCGGCTTCACATGGAAAGATGGTGAGTCGTTCCTACGCATTCAAAAGGCGAACCTTTCCTCCAACCGAGCTAACACTGAGTTGCAACACCGCCAAACTCCGCACCAGAATATCAAAAGCAACTGGAGCATATAGCAGAGACTGATGAGGTGGACCAGAAGTAAGTTATTCATGAATTTCGCCCTGGTCCAAAGATTTTACTAGACTAAGAGTTCGGTGGCAGTACGGGGCAAGTAGCGTGGTAGGCAAGGCTGAAAGGAGGCGGGTGCTTACCTCCTTGAACATGTGCACACTCTCTGGACGCTGTTGCGACTTCTTCATCTCCACAGCATCAACTGGACAAATCTCAAGGACGCGATCAAGTATAAGATCATCGAGTCCTTGGCAGGTTTTCCGGAAAACCCTTCCCCAACCCTTCATGCGGCGGCTCTTTTGATACCGCTAGCGAACAATGAAGATCTCGAAGGACCACATGATGCGAGCTACGCAACGGAAGCCAGCTCGAATAGCATACCAGTCCAAGGCGTACAGCCTTCATCTTTCACCTCCACTGCAGCAGCTGAAGCCGCAGCAGGACTGGTCAAGAGGTTCGCCGGGGAGGGCACAGACATAATGGCTTTTGCGAGTGCTCATGGTATCCATCCTGAGGACGAGATCGGCTTTTATGCCTCCAAGACCCAACCTCCTCCGGACATGAACGGATCCTGGGGGAGGAAACTCGACAAGGGGCAACTGGAGAGGGAGAGAGATGTTGTCTTTGGTATGCTGGACGAGTTTGACACGCAACCGCCTTTCACTATACAGAGGCTATGCGAGCTGGTGGTGACACCTCAGAGGCACCAGAAAACTTCAGCTAAATACCTGTCAGCCCTTCAAAGGCTCCTGGCAGTGACGGCTACTAGGGACGCGTTTCCCATCTCCCCCGATACACTGGATCCTGTCATGCCGGAAGCCAACGGATTACTGCCCGACGGCTCTATACCACCTCTTGAAGGATCCAACGGCTCAGCATCAACATCTTACCAGACCTCGAGGCCCAGAACGCTCTCGAGCGCTTCTCAATCCTCCTTAGATCGGCACTCTCAACCCCTTTTCAGCCCAATACCTTTCCTCATCCGAGATGCGCCTGGAGAGAATGGAGCCGAGAGCGTAGCGAAGGAGGCACTAGCCGAAGTGCCTGAGTTTGAGCTGAGCGGTGCCGATAGAACCCATGAAGAGCCTGAAGAAAAGGTACATGCGGCCGTGGATGTGGCCATGAACAGTAGCGAGCTCGAGGGAGAAGACTCAGTGCCCCAAGATGGGACGGCTGGAATGGCTACCACCGAAGGCGCGACTCTCCCTCAAGCCGGCATCGACCTTCAAAAAGGAGTTTCGGGAGCTTTGGCTACCAGTCCGATAGTGACAAACGAGGGGTCACTAGGCGTCCCGACGGGAAGGGTCGACGAGTTGGATGATGGCACAGCTTCGGGACAAGGGAAAATGGACAACGAGTACCACCCGCTCAGCTCTACGACCGAGGGCCCAGTCAAAGGTCCTGGCAACCGATCGGAGGTAATTGTAGAAGACGATTGTCGTAGGATCAAGAGGATAAGAAGCGATGCTCAACTAAAGGAAGAGTTCAAAACGTTGCAACAGCCTGAGGGTGCGAACGTCTCGAATGAGATGGAAATGGACCCAATGGACCCTTCCAAATCTTCCGATGCGATGATCAACGAGAAAAAAGAGGATGTTGGGAAGGAAAGCGCCGATTTTAGAGATAGGGCTTCTAAGGCTGCAGGTTCAGTGGAAGCTGGAAAGGGGTCATCGTAAGGCCAAGATCCACTTTGGTCCATCCTCTTCTCCTAGCCGTGGTTCCTATGTCGGACCTTGTCGCTCTCGCCCCGAAATTTTCGCCTTCACACGCCTTCTCACTTCTTCTGCTCTTGGTCTGCCAGAGTATCTTGGAGACCTCGCTTGAATCAAACCCATCATCGAAGTCAAAGGAAGAAGGGATCAGTCCAACCTCGATGCACGATCCCAACGAGCTCGAACCTTTTGTCCATCTCTGAATAAGAAAGGGAGCATCGGATCCCACGATCCACATTGCTTTTCATCTGCAGGCTGTACTTGTATTCAACCCGCAATGATAAGATACCACCCTCCACCTCCCTTCTCCACCCATTCCGAACCCACACCCTCTTGTATTTGTAAGAGCCTCCACGTTCTTCTTCCTCCTCTCCCCTCTTTTTTGCTTGGAATCCAACCTGCCATTTCTCTCTCTCTCTCTCTCTCTCTCTTACGCTCGAAACTCTCCCCACGCTGTGTTCTATGGGTCGTCAGCGGACAGGAAGGGAATGGGCATGTTTCCGCAGAAAGGTATGGTACTCGCCGCTGTGCGTGAAAATTCATGTTTGACCTTGAATGCTTGATACGGGGACTTATTCATTTATAATTGCACAGCACACTAAAGTTAACGTCTATTCCCGCTTAACTCAGTGGCAGAGTGCGTCACTAGTATGCTAAACAGGCTTCCGGCACGGCGTGTCGTTATGACGAAGTCAGTCGTTCAAATCGGCTAGTGGGAAAATCCTTTTTGGAATTTGTGAAAGAGGCATTTTTGTTCCTTTTTTTCTTTTTTTTTCCCAACCTTGTTTTCGCAAATCCTTTTTTCGTCACAGGGACTCGAGAGATTTCGATCATGACCAAGGCTCTTTCACTCCTTCCATTTTTCCAAGGTCTCAAGAGAATCCTTACTTCAGTCACAGTGTTCTTGCGTCGATTTATTACGTGGATATCTCCTCGCCAAAGATGGATCTTTCGGGAAGAGGGTGGGGGGGGGGAGAGTTCGGGAATCGGATCTCCTTTCCTCCCCCCTCTTTCACTTTCGTTGTCTCAGCCCGAAATATGTCCGTGGTCCGCCGACGCTGAAACCTTCACTCCCCTTCTAGGTGAAACAGGGGCATGTTGCTCTTCTTCCACCCTCGTTTTTTTGGTTTAATTTGGGTTCCCCCCCCCCTTGGTCGATTATGAAGTTCAAAAAAACTCGGAACACTTTGTGATAAAGGTAAGTTGGAGGAAGGAGTTGGTTCCAGCCTGCGAGATTCCATGAGAGGGATGACTCTTCTTCATCTTCTCCTTCCGCCTCCCTCTATCCTCTCCCCGAAGCGATGGTTGGATCTGACCCGATCCTTGCCTTGGATGAGAAGGAGCGGTGAAAGCCTTTCCCGACTCGGAATGGAGTTGAGGTCCCCCTCTCCAAACAAAGAGGCTTTGCCTTCTCCTGAGTGGCCCCCCATCTGTCGTTTCGATTTCGTTCTCTTTTTCCCTACTTTCCCACTCCGATCCGGCCCATCTGCTACTCTTACCATTTCAAACCCCTCTTTTTTCTTTTTCTGAAACGCATGAAGCATTAAGACATTGAGCATAAAAACGGAAAAGGGTATATCCTTTTTTTCCTTCTGCCCCATCATGCGTATCCTGTTCCTGCAAACTGCTCGTGCCTTCTTGCCTTGAAACCCGAGGGGCTCAGTACCGTAGTCGAACCGTTTGGTCGCAGCTGAACCACCCTCGGCCGAAGATGAGGGCAGGGTGGGAAGAATGAACCTCTCTTACATGCTTGGATGAAACACCACTTACACCTTAGCCTTCCAGCATGTCAAACTCGGAGGGATCGGAAGAGGGGCCTCTTGAGTTGGTTGGGTTTTTCACACTCTTGAATCGCAAAGAAGGGAGGAGGTTGCAAGTTGGTCGGTTGGTTTGCAGTTCGGGGGTTTGTTGCTGATCCTTTACGGCGAAGGGCGGACGAGGTTCTGACCCCTCGTAATCCACGTCCGCAACATGTCCCCCGTTTCCCCTCGGAGGGTGGGGTCAAGGGCGGCAGCAACCCCCCGTAGCCGAATAGCTACAGACACATGGGCACACTAGCCCGAATGCTTGAACACATGAATGCGAAAGCATCTCTTCAATGCTGACGAGAGAATTCTTGTATCCTTCCTTTCCTCCATCTCGGTTAGGACGAGGTAGACATGCTGTAGAGCGAAAAGTTACGCTAGAAACGACCCAAGAGCTTCGATTAAGAGAGCATGGGAAGGACAGCTCGGTTAAATAAGGGGATGCGTCCACTCCGGGCTCAACTAGGGAACTTCCTGACATTCGGTGGTTTCCTTTGAAGTACAGCAACAACGAAAAAAGGAAATGAAAAAAAAAATGTGGAAGAGCGGAGAGAGAAGAGGCGATTCGGAAAGTTGTTGGATGAAGAAAAACAACCCCTTGTAATGCGGGAAAGCGTTTCCAACCTCGAGGCAACGAACGACACGAGGGGCGCGGACGAAGGTGGGAGCCGGGACAAGGATGGGAGTCTGCCGTACGGTTCCCAGCTTCTGCCCCTGAAGCCCACCGAAGAACCCTGCTTGTCTTTCGCTCAAGCTGGTGAGGCTAGAGCTGTTGTTTACTTCCCAACCCAATCCCTTGATGCCATGGTCCAAGACGATCGTCGATCATATGTTCAGGGACATCATACTCTCCCCCCACCCTTGAAGATCAGGATCGTCCTCCTCCTGCCCCTGCACCTTCTCCTGTTGCTCGAATAATGTGCTTGCAGGATCGACCACAACAAAATGAAAGGGAATGCTTTAGGTCTTGCGAGTGGATTTCAACGTGGTCTGCAGTTCGGCGGACTCTTTTCCCTTTCTTTAATCCATGTGATTTGCTTCTGATCGTGGTTCGATATTTTTCTTGACCGTACGCGCGCGCGCAGGTGCTCGATTTTTGATGGATGCTTTCCTCTCCCGTCTTGCCCCCACCAACTCTACCACGCGGCGCATCCTTCTCATGCGCCTAAAAACACGCCCCGAGGCGGGTTGGGTTCACACCAAGTATCGATCGATCTTGGATCGACTCGAAGACTTTGTCAATTTTTAGGAGCTCCTGGCTAGGAGGTCGATTTCAGAAAGAACCTCCGAACTGGAGCAACTCCGTCCCTCTCGTGCGAAGGAAAAAGGAGCTTTTCTCTTGCAAACTATTCTGTAATTATGGGTTTGCTTTCATTCTGACCATGAAAGAGAGCCCAAAAAGCGTCCTGGATCTCACGTCAGCGTCAAGGGGCAAGCGGAGCTGATCAACGTATCGAATCCGTGACTTGCTCTTGGAGATCGTTACTCGAATCGTGATGCCAGTATTCAATCCTGTTCTTCTCTTCCCTTCCCTTTCTTTCTTTCTTTCTTTGAATTGTTTCTTCCCTTTCCTTTCTCGCGCCCAGCTGCATGTTTGCAAAGGGGTCGAAGTGTTAGTGACCAGTCAAGTCTGGATTGAAACAAGCAGAAGTGGGTAAGGTCGACTAAGTGACGCTTGTCGGCAGTGCTTTGACTGTAGTCATGTAATTTAAAAGATTAGAGGTCCGGGGCTCGCGTTGACAGACATGACGAGAAGATTGCCGGAGTTTTGAGCTTTAGCACATGGAGGGTGCGAATTAGCCATGAACACCCGTGTACAGTCAGGGTATGTAAATGCAGTCACACTTACAGTCAAGAGTGTGACTCTGTGAGGTCAGTGTGAGTGTAATCCAAGTAAAGAGTACGTGCAAGTAGGATCATGGGTGTGACTACTAATGCTCACAAATGCGATGAAGAGGAGGCTGGGGGTGAAAGAAGCGGAGCGAGGCAGCAAGCAAAGCAAGGGGAAGAAGTCGGAGAGCTATCTTCAAACTCAAACGTGAAACAAAATAAAAGGATTAGGATTCGATCCATGATTGTGCAAGCCAAGGCGTGAGCCCGACCCTGGTTTTTGCTTTTTCGACAAACTTCCGCATGGAGGATCCCCGTCCCATCAAAAATATATATAAAAAAATAAGAAAAATCACTAGATGTATGTACTGTGGACTATTCGCTACAGGCACCCCATGGACGCACCCCTCAGTCATCAAAACAAACTTTCACTTGGCTGTTATGGGGGGCATGAAGCACCCCATACGGCGGGGGACATGGTAGGGGTTGGGGGAGCTCTACCTATGCGATCCCATTCCAAGACAGAACACAGGTACCAGTTGGGTCTGTTTCACCTGCCCGAACTGATCTTTCAAGAGGAGCTTGATTGAGCGATGACAATTTGGGCCCTGACTAGAATCGATAGAGATTCTTAATGAAAACCGCTCAGATGGTTGGGAAGGGTAGGAAGAGGGCACAACGATTCGTCCATTTGGTCTTGGAAAAAAAAAACGATTCTCCATCTCCCTTCCGCCGACTTTCAAAGTGAGAGTCGCCAACTCACTCCTCCTTGTTCTAGTCCAGCAAAGGGATTCACAGTCAGAGTCATGAGTGTAACGCAGAGATTCATAGGAAGGGCGAGTCCTTCTCCAAGCTCGTTTCCATCATGGATTTTGAAAGCACGCTCGAGAGGGCTGAGGGGACTTAGGCAGGAGAGGTCGAAAAAAAGATCTCCGATCAAAATCCTGTGAGGTTTCGTGCACGCGCGTGTTTTTCGATGGGCGGTGCGAAGGGTGTAAGACCCACTGAACAAATTTTTTAACGACCCTAGTGATTTACCTCAAATGAGAAGGAGAGAGAGGGAGGGAGAGAGGGAAGAGAGAGAGGCCCACAAGTTGTTGAGTAATGAGTGTTAACCCGCGAATCCTTACGCTGTTCTGTTAAAGAACCCCGAAAGTCTGACTTTCACCGCCACGCATTTCCGAGGTATGGCTTTTCGAATGAGCCTCATCCCGACCATTCCCCTTAAACTTTCCACCTGAACTGCGACAACGGGCTTGCTTAGCCAAGTAGGAAGAGTTGGATGAATCGATCCACCCTTGCCACGACGCTTCCTTTGCCCAACAACCAACCGAATACGTGGCTTGGCCTTCCTCGCCTAGGTTGGAGGGCCCTACAGGATGTTGCTGAAAACCGACCCCTCACCCCATCAACATCCCTCCCACTTTTCACTCTCGCTCCAACCGAGTGGTTAACGTGCTGCTACCACATGTGCTGCGCTCTCCCACAAGGAAAAGTAAGATTCAGATCACAGCGTTCGGTCAAGTGTTCTTTTGGAGACGCTCTTGTGTCAAGCTCAGATCGAAAAAAAGGCCAGCTGGTGAGTAGCTAGCTGGTCCGACGAGGTTGCAAGCAAGGGGCTTACTGGACAGAGATCGAATTGTCAACCTCTAGGAGTCAGGGATGGAACTGTATTGGGTTTCGTTGGAAGAAGTGATTCATTTCTTTAGCTTGTTCGTGAGTTGGGAAACTAAAGAGCAAGATGAAGAGCACGTAAAGCCCCACCTTGCGTGTTGAAGCAAGTGAATGGGCCTGACGATGGATCATTACGATCGAGGCTCGAACACCTTCCCTGAGCTCGCCGAAGAGGCTTAAGCTACCTGCCAATAACTTTCCTTGTTGAACCAAGTTGGTTGAGGAGCTTTCAAGGTCCATCATGCGAATCACAAATGTGGATGTGCACATGTGAGAGGTGAATTGTGAATCACGACGTGCGACTGTGACTACTGTGGTTGTAGACTCAAACTGAATTCTAAGATTCTTTCTCCCTACATCTCGGGAGCATTTTTTATTTTTATTTTTCATTTTTACTTTTACTAAATCAT